CTGTCAGGTCAATACATAGGAAAATTTCAGTGCAAAATAGGTTATGTAAAGCTACACCGACCACTAGAATATGGGTGGGCGGGTCTGGCCATGGACTTCTGTTCCACAGTTAGAGAGGGAATTTGATAGATTTGGTGCTATAAAGAAAATTGAATATGTTAAGGGGGACAATAATGCTTACATTTTGTATGATTCATAGATGCAGCACAGGCTGCTGTTAAAGAAATGAGAGGTTTTCCTTTAGGTGGGCCTGATCGTAGATTAAGGCTAGATTTTGCTGATGTTACGCCTGGTGGTCCATTTCGCCCTAAGCATGCATATCCAGTTGCAGAAGATAGTGTTGAGTTTAGGCGAGTACCAGAATATGAAAGTTACGAAGGGTGGGAAGAAGTAGTTTCTATTCTGGTCCTCCTAGAAGTTATAGAGGCCGTGGTGGACCTTGGCGTGGTACTAGAGGTGCGTACAGGGGAGGATATCATGGTGAAGGCTATAGAGAAGAGGATTATGTCAGTAGACGTCTGCCTCCTGAGTTGGACTATGAAAACTTCTCGCTGCATTAGGAGATCAGGTTCTCGGAGCCTGGAGTTGATAGATCTCGATCCCGTTCACCTAGGCATAGATCACCTGAAAGTGATTCAGATACGTCAACTCGACGAGGTTGTGTTGGTAGTGGCATGTTAGCTTCTGCCAGAACTTTACGGAAGTTGCGCGCAAATCTACAACAACCTGGCATGGTGCACTTATATTAAAAATTCTCTGTTTCCTGCTAAGTTTCATTTGACTGATGGTGATAATGATATTGTGGAAGGACTCATGAAAGACGAAGATGGCAAGCATCATCTGAGAATAACTCAAAGATTGAGACTAGATCAACCAAACTTGAAGATGTTCAAAAACGGATTGCAACATCTAGTTCACATGCGATATTTTTAGGTCTTGCTGGATCTACTGGTTCAATTTCAAATGATGATACTAGTGTGCAAACTAGGCCACTAAGAAATCTTGTTTCATATCTCAAGCAGAAAGAAGCTGCAGGCGTAATATCTTATTAAATAAAGAAACAGAAGCAACTGGAGTGCTTTACTCTTTCCCGCCTTGTGAATTTTCGACAGAATTGCTAAAGCGAACATGTCACAAATCACAGAGGAGGGGCTTAAAGAAGACCATTTGGTTATTGTAGTTGTCAGAGGTGGAACAGCCTAATCCATATTGGTTTTTGGTGGTATGATACTGTAATTTTACTATTTTTATATAATTTTTGTAGGGCTTTGAATGAATCATTCAAATATTTAATTTTACAATTTCTAATTTAAAGAGCTTTTACATATTCCAAGTTATTTATAGGAATATTATGATAGAATTCTTGTATTATCACTTGCAAATTGAAGGTAAATAATATTTAAGTTTTACTTTGACTATAAAATATAATAATATAGTCCATAAATATAATATTAAGGTACTTTATAAGAAATTTTAGATTTATTGCACATGATCGCAATGGAAGAAGCAGCATTGATTTCATTTAAACACGTTGCAAGAAAACTGATGTGAAATGTGATTAGTATTGAGTGAAGTATTTGACAACAAATTATTATACAATTCAGCATTTATTTCAGATTTTGATTTTAATTTTCAATTCAATTACTTTTCAAAACGTTAAAATGAAATTGATAAAAAAAAATTGTGTATTTTACAAGTGATTTTGTAATGTGTGAGATTTTCCATTCATAATGTGTACTAGATCTTTAGTGGTGACGTGGAAAGTGTATGATAGGTTCATT